GGTTAAATAGTAGGTCTCGAAAATGTCTCTGTGCACTCACGTTCATTAAAAAAATTGTTTTTACAATTCCAAATGTTCAAAATCTTTAAATAACCCGTAAAAGGTTGATAAACTGTAAAAATCAATACTTTTTCTTAGTTTCCCCTTTAACTCTGGCCTTTCATCTTATGGTCTAAATATTTCAATGATGTCACATACATAAATATTTTTTTCTTTATTCTATGTTCCGGTTCCATTTAAGACGTGGGCGATTATGACTCTCCACATCTTTCTATATAATTTTCACACAAACTAGCCAGATAGTTGAAGAGTTGCTTTTTGCTGTCTCTTTACGATCACCTGGTTCGATGTTCTTTCCTGGATTATATAAATATTTTTTTATCTCAAAATCCGAGACGACCTTTTGATTCCAGGCTGCCCGACGATTGCGCCTAGCATGAAACAGCCTGTCGCCTCTGAGTGTTGACTTCAATGTTCACTTTTATATATATATATATATATATATATATATATATATATATATATATAACAATGTTAGGAAAATTAATGAAAAAAATGGAAGATAAATTAATCTACCGAGCTTTGTCCTTTAAGACTTTATACAACTAAAGTGTTGTTTACGTTGATGTAACTACACATGAGCAAAATGGAGAAGGTGGGTCACTGAAATAAACTTTAATTTTTTTTTTAAATATGTGTTTGAGAATAAAGTCTAGCCAATTTTTTATCCGGGTGGACACTTACAGACACGGTTATACACCCGGCCAATATGTATCTTTTTAACCCAACAATTGTACTAACATCTCAGTCTTGTTCATTTTGCCCTGCGAATTAATCTTATCGACATGTCTGTCTTTCTTTTCTATTTTTTCTTTCTGTCTTTTTTTCTTTCCTTTTTTCATTTTTCATGCCATCCGAATTATTTCTCATTATTCCCCCTTGTCGCTTTCCGCTTCTTCATCAGCATCGACGTCGTCTTTTTTTTTTTTTGACTACTCTCTTTGTTCATAGTCCTTTTTTTTTTTTTTTTAATAAATAAATTATGGAGCAGCCAGTTAGGGCCCGAAATCACGCGCAACTGACTTAGAGAAAGAAGCTTGCTAACCCTTTTTTCATCGTCTCTACTATAAATATATTCTTGATTCGCCTCAACGATCTGTATTATGTAATGGCGTTTGTTTTTCGCGTGACTAACAAAACGAAAAATATCTTTATCTTACGTTGTTACCAAAAAAAAAAAAAATGAAAATGGGGAAGAAAGCAATCATAGATGCAGACAGACACACACACGCGTATACGTCTTTCTGTATTCTTGTGGAAGCATTTTGTCTTTCTATTTTACGTCATAATATAGATACTTTCTTAAAAATAATTATTATTCAATGTTTATTATTTCTTGGTGATAATAGAAAATATAGACTGATACACAAATAGAAAAAAAATGTTGTGTGGGTGTGGGCGTGTACAAAAATTGATGCAAGTACACATGTTTCAGCGATGGCATTACGCATTGGCATTTAACAACGAACCTCCCCCACGAGGGTAGGATGTGACACAAGGTCGTTTTTTTTTTAATGTAAGGTGGGGGTGGCCACACTCGTACATGAGGGCCAAGGACAAAAAAGTCACTGTCACGCTGGCGTCGATATTACATCCACCCACCCCACTTTAGTGTGGAGAGGAAGGGTTTTATTTAAAATTTCATAAATCCCCCAAATTCAGGCACCGCCTTCTTTTCTTTAATGAATCCTTCACAAATAATTCGTCAAATGATTCAGTCCTAAAAGGCCAAGAAGAAATTAAAATTTGAAAGCAGATATATATTCAAATTATATATATATATATATATATATCATATATATATATATATATATATATTTGTTTGTGTGTGTGTATTTGTGAAAAAGTTTACAAGAAAAGTCAAAATCATATCTAAATATCTATCTATCTATATATATATATATATCATGAATGAAAATATCTATTCCATCTATCAATCTATCAACTATCTATCATGATTTGTTCACATCTATCTATCTATCTATCCATAGATCTATCTTTTCAAAAACTATCTGCCCCAGACTGTTCATATCTATCTGTCTATCTTCATCTATCTATCTTTTTCCAATAATCTGCCTTTTCAACTGTTCATATCTATTCTATCTATCTATCTATCATTCTATCTCACTGTTCCAGTCTGTTCAATTTATTTTTACTGGTCTGTTCATTTTTATTTATCTATCTCTTAATCTTCTATCTAAATCTATCTATGTCAAACTAGTTATCTTCATTATCTATCTATTATCTATCTTTATCTATCGATTCTATCTATCTATCTAGCAGTCTCTTTCATTATTATCTTCTTGATCTATCTATCTATTCGATCTATTATCTAATTCTGACCTATCCAAATTATCCAAGCCCTGTTTTTGTCATTATTATGTGCCCCAGAAATTTGAATTCTCGTTCTTCCTGGTGCTCAAACTACATTTTCATTTTC